ACCGATGGTCCTCTGCTAGAAGTCAGGGCCCCTGCTGGATGGGAGCCGGAATGGCAGGTGGGAGGGGGTAGCCAGCACTGCCTTTATCTCTGTTTTCAAGTCTTGATTTATCTCTTTCATCTGTTTGATTGTTTCTTAGTTTTCTTTAAGGGATTTGTGGATTTCTTCTAATTTTTTGCCTGTCTTTTCCTCCATTTCTTTGAGAGAATTTTTGTTTTCATCTTTAAGGGCCTCAAACATTCTCCTACAGTCATTTTTAGGTCATTTTCTTCTGCTTCATTTGTATTGGGGTTGTTTAAGTTTTGCTGTTGTAAAGCCAGTTGTTTTTTGTGGTGTTGTGTTGCTGTTTGTGGTGTTGAGTGTATTCCCCCTACCCATCTTTTCTTTTGATTAGTGTAGTTGGGGTTTTGTCTCTGGTGATCAACCTTCCAGGTGCCAGTGAATCCAAGACTCAGATGGTTGTTCCTTGTGGTGCAGTTGGGTCAGAATTCCAGTCATCAAAAAGGTTACTCAGCATTTCTGGAGGTTACTCAGAACTCCTGGGAGTCACTCTGCAATTCCAGATTCCATTCAGGCATGCTTGGGCCTGCTCCTACAGAAGTCACTGGCTCAGTCCTGGCTCTGTGGAGGTGGCTGACTCTGGCTTGCTCCTGTTGAGGTTGCTGGCTGGGGACTATTCTGGCAGAGGTGGCTGAATTAGGCCTGCTCTGGTGGAGGTCCCTGACTAGAACCTGTTCTTGTGGATGTCCCTGGCTTGGGCCTACTCCTGCCGAGGTCCCTGGATGGGCCCATCCCATGATGATGTTCTCTTGCCTGGGACTGTTCCCTTGGCAGTTAGTTGCTCCCTTATACCTGCTCCTGTGGAGGTTGCTGACTCAAGCCTGCTCTAGCAGAGGTCGCTGACTCAGGCCTGTTTCCAAAGAGGTCACTGGCTTGGTTCTGTTCCTGAAGATATCCCTAGCTCAGGCCTGCTCCTTTGATGATCACTCCTTTATACCTGCTCCTGCAGAGGTTGCTTGCTTGAAAGAATTACTATACTTAAAATCACTATAATTGAAATTATCAGGTGACTCTGATTTTGGATTTTACTTTAACAAGAAAGCTTGGGTTTAGATAAGGAAGGAGACATACTTCAACTCCAAAGCCTGCTTTAATTTTTATTTGGAAAAATAAATAAATAATAAATAAAGGGAAATCATTTGCATTATACATCAGAGAACATTAGAAACAAACATTTGGGAAGACTTATGAAATTTTATCCTGTTGGAAATGTGATAAAGGTCAATAGGCCAATTTACTCCTTTTCTTGGTACATTTTTTTTTTCTGGATGATTTGTCCTTTTTCTTCAGATGTCTCATTTGTCCAGTGGTCTTCAGATTCTTTAGGTGGATGCCTTTATTCTGGAAAGATCACAAGAAAACTCTGTCCCAACTCTAACTTTGGGAAGGTTCCCTTTAGTCAAGTTATATTTGGTCAAATGAGAAACATTTGTTAATCATATAAGTTAGTTTAGATTGAATGATCACATTGATTGATGGACTATTACCTCTTCTAATCACGAGGTGTCTCTCATTCAAATCAAAACTTTATCAATTTTGATAGTATTCGTAGCTTTTCTTCTCCTTTGGAAATAAAAGCAAAACCCCTTCCCTAATGTAACATGTACATCACTTTCCATCCTGAAGTCAGCACATCTTTAAAGTATATCAGCTGATTTAATTCTGTAGTTTGTATTATCCAGCATCTCTCTGCAGCTCTTGTTCCTTTCTCATTAGCATTTAGAAAATTCAAAGTTAATAAAGAATTATGCAGTTTATTTCTGGGTGTCTTTATTACCCCTTTCTGTTGTTTATTTAGCATATCCTTTAGGATTCAATTTGATCTGTCTATAACTGTTTGCCCTGTAGGATTATGTGGTATACCTGTAATATGAGTTGTATTATAATAAGTGAAAAACTTCTTCATTTTCTTAGAAACATATGCTGGAACATTGTCAGTCTTAATATGTACAGGTATACCCATGATGGCCATAACTTCTAGCAAATGTGTGATTAATGAATGAGCCTTTTCAGGACTCAAAAGTGGTCACCCATTGAAATCTTGAATAGGTATCAATGGTGTGGTGTACATATTTAAATTTTTCAAATTCTACAAAATGGAATACATTCATCTGCCAAATTTCATTCCTTTGAGTATCCTTTGGGTTACTTCCTGTAGGTAGTGGAGTTTGGTTATATAAAGAACAAGTAGGACATTTCCTTATAATTTCCTTGGCTTGTTACCAAGTGATGGAAAAATTTTCTTTTCAAACCGTTGCTATTGACATAAAGCCTTTAATGAAATTCTGAGACCTCGAGCATATTTCCTATCAACAGTTTATCAATTTCTTCATTACTTTGTGCTAAAGGGCTTGGCAGTCCTGTATGGGATTGGATGTATCTTATATATAGATGTGGGATGATTCCTGTTACTGATTTTTTTAACTGAATAAATAATAAAGTTGATTCTGCACCATCTGGTATAAATTCAACAGTTTTGTTTGTGTTTTAGCAAATGAAGCTTTCCTGGAGATCAGAATTCAGAGTTAGTCACTAGTTAACCAGAGGCTAGACAATGATGTCACACACCTTTAATCCCAGAACTTGGGAGGAGAAAAACGAAGTGATATGGCTTGGCAGAGAGTGGAAGTGATAAGGCAGGGTGGAGAGCTTTACCCTTTACGCTGAGAAGTTGACAAGATAAGAGGTGGCTATGGCTTACTTCTTTGTCGCTCTGACCTTTCAGCATTTATCCCATATATGAATCTGGGTTTTTCGTATTAAGATCAATTAGAATTAAGGCCATAAGTAGACTTGAAACCAAATCTAGTGAGAGCCGATAAACATTATTTCCTACTGACTAAGGAAACAATCCATGGAGAGAACTATATAATTCCACATACAAATACACCCAGTTCTATACAGAACTTACTACTAGATGTAAAGTCACAGGTTAGCATCAGGTATCATAGTAATCTCACTGTGAACTGTTGACAGGTCATACAAATAATATGAAAACCATAATATCACAGATAAAATGGATTGACAGATACTTGTAAGATATTATATACAAACACTGCACACACAATACACGTTGTTCTCAGCAGTACATGCAACTTTCTCTAAAAAGTCATGTATTAGGACATAAACAAAATCTTAACACATATGAGGAAATGGAAATAATTACCTATCTTCTACCTGAGAGCAATGGAATGACTGCAGATAAACAATAACAGAAACTCCAGAATATAAATAAACCAATGGAGACTAGATAACACACAACTTAATGATGAATGAGCCCTTGAAGAAGTCAGGAACAGAAAGACTCTCACCACCAAATCAAAATGAAAGCACAACGGTCTTTAACCTTTGAGATGCAATAAAAGCAGTCATAAGAGAAACATTTAAGGCTCAAAGTAATATATTATGAAATCATGAGATTTCTAATAAGTTAGTTAATTATCTACCTTAAGGTTTGGTAAAAAGAACAAGTCAAACACACAAATCGGTAGTTGGAAAATAAATCACTGACGTCAATGTAAAATTAGTGAAATGAAAACAACAGCAACAAGAAAACCAATATAGTTAAAATGAAACAGAGGTGGTCCCTTCAAGCATAAACAACATTGACAAAATTTTAGCTAACCTAACCAAAAGAGAGTGAATGTCAAAACTAATAGAGTGAGACATGAAAAATCAGTCATTGTGACAGGCACCAGTGAAAATCAGAAAAGTTATTAGCTTACCTTAAAAAAAATTCCACTAAATTGAAAAATCTAAACAATATTGGATAAATTCATACATATATAGAAAGTACTAAAATTAAACTAAGATGACATTTAATTGTTTAAACAGGTATAAATACAGAAGTCTCAGCAGGCTTTTAAGTTTCCTATTCTTAAGATACTGCCCAGTGTTTTAGTTGAATTTTTGATACCTGCAAGATGTAGGACTCTAAGCTATTCCTCCAGAAAAACTTCATTCTGCAAGCCACCATGTTCCCCATCATAATGATAATGGACTGAACCTCTGAAACTGTAAGCCACCACCTCAATCAAATGCTTTTCTTTGTAAGACTTACCATGGTCATGGTGTCTTTTCACAGCAAAAGAAACCCTAACTAAGACAAAGTTGGTACCAGGGCTGGAGTATTGCTGTGATAGGCCTGATCATGTTTTTGTTTGGAGTGATATGTACTTTGGGAGTTTTGGTTAGGAAATCAGTGGGATGCTTTAAATGCTAATGATTAATGGGACATACTAGTAGGAACATGGAAGATAGGGGTGCTGAAAGGTATTTGACAAAATGCGGCATCTAGAGATTTCTGAGGAGAAGAATATCAGTGTGTAGCCTAGAGACTGGTCTTGTGATATTTTGGTGAAGCAAATGACTGCTTTTTGACTTTGTCTGAAGAGCATGCCTGAGGCTAAAGTTAACAGTTTTGGATTAATTCTGTTTGTAGAAGAAATCTCAAAGCAGTAGAGTATAGACTCTGCCATGTGGCTATTAGTAGTAACTTTAATGAAGATTTATAATAAAAAAGAGAAAGTTGGGCAGGGTAAATTACAAAATGTAAATTTTGAGGAGAAAAATAGCATTAGGAATTGAAATAGATCTAAGTCCTGTGTTGAAGGAGTTAAATAGATAAAGAAATGCAATAAAAAAGCGTGATGATGTCAGGACAAGATTTTACCAAGATAATTTCCAACCTGCAGAAAGAAACTATAGAAAAACCTAGAGTTTGGTGTGGTGGGGTTATACCTTTAATCACAGCATTGGAAAGGCAGAGACTGGCACATGTCTGAGCTTGAATCCAGCCTGGTCTAGAGATCCAGTTTCAGGACAGTCAAGCTTAGTACTAAAAGATAGAAAGATTGACAAATATTGCATGTTCTCTCTCATGTTAGCACCCTAGAGAAGTACTTGTTGTTTTTATCTTAAAGTGCATATTAAGGGAAGGAAGCTCAAAAGGGCCTTTAGATGGGAATAAGAAAATAAGGACATAAGGAAAGCAGAATTCCAGAATACCTATGGTATGAAAGTGGAGGGATGGTATATGAGACCAAGGGGTTTGTGCAAAGATGGCTTGGGAAGATGAAGGATAGAATTAACAAAATCCCCAAATATATGAAAATTCCATAAAGACTCACTAGCTTGTAAGCTCATTAAAAATATGAAAGAGCTTAAGTCAAGTCACATTCCATGGGTAGACAATACTGCTCCAAGAAGTCATAAGTTGTTAAATGAAAATTCCAGTTCTAGTGTTGGAATACCTTCCTGGGAGTTGCTGACAGGAAAAATGCCTGTTAATCCAAATGATGTTGGCAATTTTCATTGTTGTCAATTGCCTGCAAGAATTGGTTGTGAAGACCCTATTGCTAAAGTCATCCTTAAACTCTTGTCACTGGACATAAAACAAGATAGTTGGAAATGGGCTAAAAAATACCAGTACCAGAAGCTGTTTGCAGGCTGCTAGTTGGAGATTGTCATCAACAGTCTTACTCAGTTGTAGACACTCTGATCTATACTTCGAATAGGCTTTCAAGATAAGCTCATTGGTGTAATATTGATGATTGGGTTATGGGGTAACCAATTATTTTCTGATTGATATTGAGAAGAATTCACATCTGGTGCAATCAACGTGGTCACATACTCATGCTGAGGAGGAAAATAGGTCTGAATGTTGAAGCTATAATTCTTGTTCTGCTAAATAGACATGATGTGCATATTAAAGTATCTTCTAAACAGCTATATTTATCCTTTTATATCACTATTGTGATATAAATTTGGTCAAAGAAGATTCTTCTTGTAGTAGGCAGTGGTAATTTCAGAGACTCAAAACTGGACAAAAAGCTGAAAATAAGGGCCCTTTAAGTGATCTCCCTAGATGAAACACCTAGAGCCCATATAGTCTTAGAAAACATTAAGAAATAAGATATGGAAATGATCTAAGAGTCTAAAGATGGGGTAAAATGATGTGAAATATTGTCTTCTAGACATGGCATGGCTGCAACACTCTTGAACTCACAGCAGCTGTGACTTCTGCAGAAGACCTACACAAGACTGGGCACTTCAATATTCTATTAAGGAGTGAAGAAGTCCTCCAAATCTGCCACCACTTTTCTGACTATTTATAGCTAGTTAATGGTGACAATGAGGCAGTGTCCATGAGACACCTCTTTCTACATTCTATAGACTATTTAGTGGTTGCTGGTGGAGGGAGAGTTTTTGTTTTGTTAGTAGTTACTGGTAAGGAACTCTTGTTCCTGTAAATGTCTCCTTCTCTGTGCTCCAGTAAGTGCCCTCGGTGAACTTCACTGGGTCACAAACACACACATGAAGAAAAGGAACTTGAAAGTAAA